AAGGTCATGAAGATGGTTGCTACGGGGAGCAAGAATTGAGTTTTGGAAGTCCAAACAGAATTTAGTCAAATCAAATGATCGCTGGGTTCCTAATTTCGTTTGAACTAATCGCATTTCAGGAGTATAGGAAAAACTAAACAAAGAATGAGACAAAGACTTATGCAGATTTGTCCCACTTAGCAGATAAAGATGAGACGAGCAAAGATGAACGAGAAGTTAGTTTATGGCAATTTTGAGCGCTACATAAGGCTCTCAAAAGTCCGACATGCAAGGTTCCTTCACTGAATAGAATAGAAAAAATCCAGGAAGCCAAATATTGTGTGGATCAAATGTACGAGATACCAAACACGCCATATTGCAGAAGAAACATACACTTATCCTTCAGGATAGCGAAGAAGTGCGCAGTTGGTCTGCGTACCCACAGGTGAGCAAATACGCCGACCAAACAACGCACAAAAAGCATAGGCTTCAGGTCGATGGACTTCGCGGGCTCAAACGATTGTATACACTGCCTTAAACTACGAACCCACTCCAAGATGACAAGGGATTTGGCTACAACTTGGAAACTATACAGACTGCAGCAGGACATTTCACAAAACATTCCCATAATTTCTATCATCCCAAACCACCTAAGGCCCTATACATAATTCACGCGCTTCCACTCAGACAATCACAAATGAATGACTTCCGGGGAAAACTAAACTTCTAAAACTTTCGGGAGGACACTCCTCTAGGAGCTGCCAAGTAGGGCGGGGCCAGAGGAGGGAATAGGAGCGTCCGGTCCGGAAGTTTTGGGAGTTCAGTTTTCCCCGGAACTCATTGGCGATTGTCTGAGCAGTGCTACGCGATTTGGCAATAATCCAATTGCTTGTAACTCATCATAAGCCACTTTAAGCTACAGGGGTCAACCAAGATATAGGGTATCTCATCAATTTGTAAAAGTTATGCATTCGTAGTCCGCGGATGCTGGATACAAAGATTTCCGGCAAACCGACAAATCGCTTGGTGGCCGAAATTGCACGAAGTGCCCCGGGTGAATTCCCTTGTACAATCTCCTACTCTAAAACAAGAATAACTTCAAACACAATCCCTCCAAACCCCTCAGCAAAATGTCTTTATCCCATCTGCACCCAATTCACCTTTTTTGACAATAACGGTATCAAATAAACAATTTTGCAACCCCTCAAAAACTTTCACCGGAGAAACGGTATTTACATCAAGGATCGCTGAACGGAAACTAAGCACTTCAACAAATAACATTTCCGCAGCCAAGACCACAACGCTTCGTCACGATTTTTCTTTAAACGTATAGACTTCCACTCAATGAACCAGTCTTTGACCCTAAAAATGTGATGTGGAAAATCTTTCAAGAAGCAGGAACTGTGCACGTAATTGAATGTACAATATGACCCTGAAAGCAAAGTTCGAAATGTTTGGGATCTTTTGCGATGTTAATGTGGTATGAAAGATGCCACATGACAAAGCTGTTGCACAGAAACCGGAGCAGAGAGAATCAAAACCTAATTTAACCAAGATACTGCATCAACTATGCACTTTCAGTTTACACCGCCCTTTGTCCTATTCTAGAACAGTTAGCCTAACTTTCAAAAGATAGAAAATATCATAGCATCATGAAAAGCCTAATTTGCAAAAGAAAATAATATCATTAGCATCATGAATCCTTCGCTCTGGTTCAATACACGAGGAGGGACCAGAAAAAGAAGTCTACAAGAGTGGGCCAGCACGATGTCTGATACCGAGAAATAGGGTACGTGAAAATAGCGACATGTTATATCGTAAACATTCACACGATTTTGATAACTTCCTCGTAGCTGTCTTAATATACTTCGCAAAATCAGTAAAATCATAAGCTGAGCCAGTGGAAAAGTTTTTTTTTGGTTTTCTGAAGCCATTTGCAAACATCGTGAATCAGTAAATAACTACCCAGCAAGACTATGCATAAATTTTTCGTTTTTGTAGCATCTATCATCCCGATGTGACTCTTAGGACAAGCGCTGAAATCGCTGGAGCTCAACCCTTTAGAGCTCGGCTACGTTTGGCTAATTTTCAAAATTTTCAAAGAACTGCTGAAAGGCAATTGCCTCAACTAGCGAAAGGTCTGCTCTATACATTAGCTATCAAAACTTCTGATGTGTCAAATAAAATCTTGTGAATTAGGGGAAAATTAGACACGATGAAATCAGAAGTTGTAAACTTCAGCGCTTATCTCAGCACTAGTGCGAACAGTCACATCGGGGACATAGCTGCTAGAAGGATAAAAACTTTCTGCATCGTAAACTGCTCAAAGTTGTTTATCTTTACTTCACAGGATTTATGATGGGTTCAAAAAAAGGACAAACGTTTAGCGACGATCTAATAGTTAGTCCGCTTACACATAACCCACCTATTGGCATATTGACTTCAAACTCGGTTTCTATGTAATCAATAGAACATAACATGACTGTGGATTTGCAGAAAATGCCTGAGGATCTTGAACAATCTTCGATAGCTCAACGAAGCAGCACACGAACTGACAAGCGTCAGCAGTGTTGAAGATTGTAGAGGTGATGGCCAAAGCCACATACTGGAATTCCGTACGAGAAATATGCGGTTTAGTCAACAACTTGTACTCTTCAGCTCAAGAGCTCTCGACTTTGTACAGATGTTTCAAAAAGTATTAAGTTGGCCAAAGCAAACCGCTTTTCTATTTATATTAAGCTGTTTTTGTTTATATAGAGCAAAGCCAGCTCTACAAGACGACCAACAATGATCCGCTTAAATCGTAATTCAGGTAAAATCTGAAGCCGACACAAGATTTATTAGCTACCAGATCGCGTTTTTCAGAAAATTCCTACGGACTTCCAACTTGTTCATTATACAGTAGACACATAGTAGAACCCAAAAATGTATTCTTTGGATGGCTCGAAACTAAAAATCAAAATAGCCCAAATATGCAAAAATATCACTTTCAGAGTTTTATGCTGAACTTGGTATTTTCCATTTACTAAGGCGCACACAGAGGCAAAATTTTGAGTTTCTACTTACTAAGGCTTGTAATATATAATGACATATGTGGAAGGGGCTGGGAGGGGGGGGGGAGTTTGTCAGTCTTACACTTTTTTCTCGCCAGTAAATGTAGCCCAGTAGAGGCATATCCCTACTATGTATCCGCTGTGTAATGACCAATTTGGATTTCCGAAGGATTTTTCTTCGCAAAAATCCAATTTTGGAATGATGAAATAATCTTCGATTTTCGCTCCTAGCTCTATTTGGACTATTAATAAGGCGGATGTTTGGGGGCCATTTTGTGGAGCTTGGTTCTCTCTATCGAATGATACCCTAAGTCTGCTAGAAAAACGAAAACAGCTAGACTTAATAAAAGAATTCACTTCTAAGACGGCCTGATACTTTTGCAAAGAAGAACAAGTTGTTTAAATGGCAAACCTATCTTCATTCTTTGACAAGTAGGAAAGTGAGCACTAGACTGACCGCTTGCAAGCACTAGCAAAGCGGTATGAAGAACCAACGACAAGATAAATGTGTCCTATGACTTTCATGTTGTAAGTTTGATTCACTGCGTAGATGCCTCGCACACGCGACTAGAAGAATTGAGGTAATCACAACAAATCGAGGTTAAATTGCGAGTAAAGATCAAGAGCGCTTCAAGAAGGAGGACATAAGAAGAGGACGGAGGAGGCACATAACCAGACCGAGATACGCGACCACTCAATAGCAATTGCATGGCGAAATAGCGATGCGCGATGATGTTGTGGCTGCAATTGAAGAGCGATGTATGGAAGAACTGGAACCAAATCATAATGAGAGGGGTAGAGTAAGTGAAGAAATTAGTAGTGCGCATTGATATCAAGTAACAAAAAACAAACAACAAGTGTCTTGTGATTTACAGCAGCGCAGAAAAAAAACCTGTGGTTAACACTCAGGCGATAATTTTATTTACGAGCTGAGATGAAGCGGCAACCATGTCCTGACAACTCGTTTTCATCGCCCGTACACAACAAAAGTCGTCCAGATATAAGCGTCACAGTGGTAAACTGGAGTACGGGAAAATTTAAGTAGTTCGTACAAATTAATAGCCACAGAATTCAAAAATTATTTCGAAAGTATGAGTAGCTAGGGGCAGTACAAAAATTTCTCAAACAGTCCATGTACCTAGTCCTCCACAAAATAAGGAAGGCGTGAACGGTCATTGCTTACGAGAAGATATATTCTCATGGAAGTAAGAGGAGATAAAAGCGAAACTTCAGTTACGGCTCCAAATCGGAGTCGGCAATATGGGAGTTGTATGGAAACAAAGACAGCTTTCGAATATTATGCAATAAAACTCAAAAATGTAACAAAAGCTATTTGATTTAGTCACATGCTAAAAATGGCTAAAGATGACCATCCGGTTCGATGTTAATTGCAGAAAAAGAACTATCGCTACACTTGATGAAATTGAACAGTATTCCAACGTTCGTTGAGCGCAAGAAGACCCTATGTGGAGAGGTGAAGGCTATTGCTGCTTCATTAACGACTAGCCAACCGCTATGAAAATATGACAGTAAAATGTGAAATCTTTGTTAATCATATATCACCCTTGACAGCTCTCACTCGGCTCAAATTTCACCAGATCATGGAAGTAAAGAGGACGAAATGGCAGCAGGATAAGCAGCGGCTGCATCACCAATAATGATCCTTGGTCTGATACTTATGATCACAGCAGAATCTGTATTGAGATTCCCCTGGCATACCACAAAGCGTGTCTTCATAAATAGTTTACAATTGATGATGCGTGTCATCGACAATATGCGCATCATTTCAATGTAACAATGACAATTACAAACAGCATCTGTATGTGATGCACTGTAGCATACATAATGCCATGATGTACATCAACACTAACTATAAACCTTCTAAACCGGAAGAAAATGACAAGAGGTAAACATTTTGAGGCATACAGCTAAACTGGATGAAAATGAAACACGAAAAGCAATACCTACCTTCGATGCAAACCACTTGATCTCGAATCTCATCTCTCATGTGCGCGTATTCCGGAGGAAGTGGAAGGCATTCTAGCATGTCATATATCTGAAATTATCAAAATGATGCTTCAAAATTTTTTAAAGTTAATAAAATGCCGTTGCGATACAAACTTTTCACAAAAAGGAACGACACCAAAGTTCTGCGGTGGTTTTTGCTCTTCTTCACATGAGTGTCTTTTACTTTGATTTTTCCCCCTTCATTTGAAAGCGATACACAGAAACATTACATTTTCTCTTCATACTGACTGCTCTCATCTCATGATTGTCGCTTTCCCTCCCTCAATCGCAACAATGATTTTGGCTTTTAATGTTCAAAAGAGAGGAAGGGGGATGAATACTGTATGCGGAGAATTTTGATATCACAAAAGTTCTGTCAATGTCCAAGTCTTCGAGAATTTTGTAATATCGAAGTGACCATTATGGTGTATATTTCTCAGCCCATATAGGTATTCCCTAAGCACCCTAGCCTCTCCCCTATCCCCCTGCCACCTCTGTACAATCTGACTCCTTTAGATTATTTGCAAAAGCTGATTATGCTTCCTGCCTCATCACTCAGCAGCTAGTGCTTGTATAGAGCCAGTTCTTATACTCTGTTAAATAATAATATCCATTCTTCTCGTGTGTACAGCCAGATAATTGCAGCGATCGTTAGGTGAGTTTTCAACGCAAAACAAACATGATCATGAAAGATTTGACTCATACAATGGTATTGCCATTGTATGCGATGCAGCGAAAGCGCATGCTCCTCATACAACATGTTCAAACGGTAGGAAAATGCTATCTACTCATGTGTTCGTTGAAATAAGGCAGGATCGTCTTTTAAAAAGCGCAAACTATTGGAATTGCACAGATGCACCAAGGTTTTATACAACAGGTGCGATAATTCAGCAAATGCCAATGGATGAATTTAGTAGTTGAATGAGTTGAATGCTTTCATTAAACATATGGATTGAATGCCTGGCTTGTATCTATACGTCCAACTCATTTTCACCATTGCCAGATAATTTTACCGCCAGTTTGAGATTGAACACCAAGTTTTACAATCAAAAACTGGCAATTTACAACCAATGCTGCATAGTATGAAAACTCTCAGCATTAATTCGCAAAGCCGCTTTACAACGAAAATTGCAATAACTGCCATTCTAGTCCGGGGTATACCCGAACACCTCAACGTATCATAAAACCTCCAAGATAAAGTCGCAAAAGATGAAAGTATATAGCTACCTGATAGATGCATGGATGTACGCTTTCGAAACGCTGTATTTCTGCCCGACACTGTTCGGAATGCAGCGTATTGCTGCCCGGAAATCCAGTGTGTACTTGACGGCCGGACATTTTGCTCTGAAAGAGGCACTTAAGATGTAAACAATAGAGAAAAACGAACATAAAAGATATATAGAGAGATTTGCACACAAAGCACTATAAACTAGTTATCGCTGCATGTTATGACACTGCAGTCACCATATGATGATATATGAACTTCTTGAAGCATCGTAATACAAAGAAAAAAACTCTCAACTTCAAAAATTTTCGTCTTTGAAAATATTATAGAGAGCCAAACCAATCCAAAAACATAAACATGAAGTAGCAAAAATCCATTGAAAGTCGCCACATGCATAGCAGGAACAAAGGAAATCTTCAGCATAAATTGCATTCACGATGTCATGAGCGAACATTGGATGAGTTGATAAAATGAAAATCCAAAATGTTTGAATGTTAGAGAGAATTCGGGTCGAAATGCGAGGCCGATTGCAAATTCTCACGTACATTACTGTGATTTTCTAGAGAACCAAGAGGCTTAGTCAAAGGAGCAATCACAGTCCTGCATCAAGAGAAAAGAAACCGAGATCCGGTTCGCTCGAATGTTTTTGCTTCGACCTAGTGCAGTCAACACCAATAATCGAGCAGTTGATGGATTTTCAAATCGCAATCCTTGTCATACATTTATATTCACATATGACTAGTTTTGAAGGAAGAAGTTAACATACAGAGATAAATGAACGAAAATCTAATAGTTCAAAAAAGAACATGTGAAAATCAAGGATGCTCACTGCAAAGTTCAATGTATACAATCATGTGAGGTTATTATCACTAAGCACCTCAGGTTTCCCTTATTGTTGGGTTGATGATGCATAAAGAAAAAGAGGAATTTGCATAAGCCATAGAGGCTTGAATTTTTTATGATAGTGTCGTCAAAGCGTGATACAGACAAAAATGGGATATGTAGTACAAATGGACTGAGTGGCAGGTGGTAAAACATTTGAGCGTTTGTCAGACAGACATCGTCTGATGATGAAGAGTAGGTGCCCGATTTGGAGAAGAAAAAAGAAACGATTGATATGAAAGTAAACCGAATTATTACTTAGCAAACCACAGCGAAAAGCAATGAAGAGGACTCAGTCTCCACCTTGCAAACTGGGGAAGTAGATAGTCAAGGAAAAAAACCACAAAAATGGCACGAAAAACTGAAAAAAAACTTGCTTTGAAACAACTCAGTGAAAAATAGAGATCTTTCTACAAATGACAGCAAATTTAATCAGACAAAGTTTGATTACACAACATAAATATCCTTATCGCAGCCCAGCAAAAGTGCATGGCAATCAAATTGAGAAACAGAAAAGAAAAAACGAGAACATTTACTCACTGTACGATGATCGATCCAGTCTTTTGCAATCCTACTTTGATAACTCTCCCATCGCAAAAGGTGAGTTGGAATGAACGGATCTGAAACGATTATAAACCATTGTGACAGAAAACGAAGCGGAAGCAAGAATCGATAGTTGGGAAAAATGAGAACAGCAGATAGACTGGGAAGGAAAAGGAAGTAATGTCTTGAACTGTCGGTTTCGTTCTGAACAATAAGGAGAGGCAAGTTGTTGAACAAACATTCCGAAGGCATATTGGGGGTGAAATCAAAATTCGATCAGTGACGAGAACAACGAGCGCGGCGTCGCATGGCAGCCGCGTAGCGGCCATGATATAGTTTAGAGCGTGGAAAACATCATGTACTGCGACCATCTACGATGACAGTCGTGGTCGCCGCCGCCGCTGATGCGGGGTGGCGGATAGGCGATCGATACGCATGGACATCGTCGTGTCGGCTCACAGAATCAGTTCATGCCACCTGCGTGAATGTAACAATAGCACTTGATGAGCTATGGCGAGTTTTTAGCGTAAGCTGCACCAAAAAGCGCTCAATGAGCTGAGTCACACACTCCATGAGGCGACGCATTGTACATCGGACGTTGCTCAGCGGCACAATCAAGTCAGATCTTGAATAAACTGGCCAAAGAGTTTATATATAGACCAATATTTAGCAAAAAAGGTGAATGTCATCCATTTCCAGACTGGGAGACTCGCGAATGCTGCGCAGGTGTAAGTTGACAGAGTCAAACATGTTTTTTCCTCTAAATCGGGCTAGTAAATCAATTAAAAATGGTGGAGCACAAGTGTTAACTTGTTAATAAATAATAATAATAATAATAATAATAATAATAATAATAATCACAAGCGGAAAGCTCTTTATAGTCTCATAGTCGCAAAATGGATAAAGTCGTGGTCGACATATAGCACGCTAAACCTATCCGTCATATTCTACTCATTGTCAGACAATTCACCGGAACTTCCGCGGGATGAGCCAAATTTGCGGCGGTTCCGCAAGACTTTGTTTACTACTGCAAAAGTGGAAACATTGAAGATGGAAACTTCCGCAGCATTTTCGTCAGATTGGTTAGAGGCAGGAACTTCTTCCTCAGGACTTGTTAGAAAATGCTGCGGAAATTCCGAAAAATGTCAAGGTTCAGCAGCACTTTGACCTGCCAGTACTTTCGCAAAATTTCAATTTTGTTGTCTCTTATGATATAGTTTCGCCAACAACTACAGTGCATTGTCGAACATGTCATCCTTACAAGGAAAGGATGGTTGGTCGAAGAGTGGTCTTTTGAGATGAATTGTATACCATGGTGGAGGGCATAAAACGCTGATTCCAAATCTGTTTTCTTATCTGCGGCGCAATCCTGAAGGAGGAGTTATGAGCGTCTGAAGGGGCAAAAAATGAGTCTTTTTCTGGGATAAAAACATTGGCTAAAATTTTCCCAGCGCATGAATGAGACAACCGGAGTGTGGATATATCTCACCTTAGAGTAATTATTTTATAGAGTGTTGGAAAGATTGAATGGTCCATACCACTGGTCCATTTAAGCGCTAGTAACAATGTTACTACTGTTTTTATATTATTTGCACATTTAATTATTTTCTTCAATAAACGCTCATAACTTCATATGCAGGAACGCGCCGCAGATAATGAAGACGGGCGTTCTTCGGAATTTCCACAGCACCTCACTTGGGAACTTCCGCAGCACGTTTACGGAACTTCCGCAAGTGATCCGGCGAAACTTTCTCAACACTCTTCTCAGTTGTCTGAGTAGTTTTGTAACTCGTCTGTTTGTCCATATGATGGTGATTTTGTATGAGAAGGCTAAAGACAAGAATCATTATTTCTCTTTGTGCTAGCTCTCCATGCATTTGTATAGTTTAGTACCATCTGTTCCCCCTTCGGAGCTGACTAAGGCGCTAGACAACGGCTTGCGCTTTATAAACGAGTTCATACCTTTGCGCTGATTTCGGATAATCTTCCACTTGGAATCAATGAAAGGACGTACACATAGATAATTGAGTTTGTTAGGCAGCGTATGCAAATATTAGTAACCTAACATGATATCAGTGAATGATAGGTTTGATGCTATATAATGTAGTCTTCGTTGCCAACAATGTTTGCTTGTAAATTATGGCCATGGAACACAAATGTTGAAAATGCGCTCTTAGCCATTCGCTGCAAACAGCATTACAACTTGCCACATTTTCGTCGCGCAAGTGTTGTAGCCACCGCACGCACACTGTATTGAACGTCTATACTCAGAAAATAACTTCGATTTTTTCATCCATTGCCATCGTTGCGAAAATTTGAAAACGATTAAGACCCCACTCAGAAGAGGAAAAGGAGAGAGGAAAAGCGAAACAAAAGTTGGTTTCTAAAACAAAGTTGTGCTTCGAACATACAGGAGAATAACATCGTATGTAATTCACGGGAAGAAAATCAAATCTCCATGAGTATTGAGTATGATGCGCCAAAGCACATAATTCTGTCCACAGTAGTACAACAGAAATCCTCACACAAATTTAGATCAAAATAGAACAAAATTAGTACAGTTTTGGAAAAAAACGGTTTGAAATACAATGAAAATCTAGGTACTATTCTTCAAGATCTTAGTTAAACCCTCTAGTGAAAGTAAGATTTGATAGCTGATAGCAATAGTTGTGCTAACCTACCCACTTTCTACGCCAGATTTGAGTTAATCAGTTGGGGAAATAGTTCTTCGAATTTCTTAGCGACACAAGTACGACCGCCTCAGCGTTGCATGCTTGTATCCCAAAATTGCTGTATGGGAGGGTAACCATACAGTTACTCTGGTAATGCAATTCTTTTACTCCTTTCTTTAGATAATGAGGGCTTTCAAAAGATTTGTTTTAAGAAATCCTGGAAAGTCAGGTGCAAAGAAGATTTGCATCGAAATGTTTCACTTTACCTGCACTTTATTATTCCCTCATTTTTGTAATTATATTAAACTACCACAAAACATGAGATAAAATTATCATTCATTAAGCTCGATATCGTAGCTGCTAACAATAAGTATCTTATGAAATTTAGACTGTGTCTTCACATTTGCGATCCTGAGAGACACAATGATTCTTTCTTTACTTTATCTGCTTATTCTCTGCGATTCAAAATTATGACTTAATTTTCTTGATTAACGAAATAAAAGTGATTGTTCTTGATTGATTATAAGTGATGTGTTTGTGCTCTATGAGAGCACAACGATCTTGAACAAGTATACCACGAATCTATTCAAAAGGTTGATTTCGCGGGTTCTTAGTGTGAACATGTAGGATCTCATAAGTACACTCTAGAAACTTCGGAATGGCAGAAAAGGCAGTGATTCGGCAAGATGGACCCCTTTCAGTTTCTGGCAGTATCATGTAATAGGCCCCATATATGCGGCAGCCCTAACATCACCCTCCAATTTATGCGCCAAGTCCTAAAAAAGCCTTTCAAAACCCCGCACATCAAAATAATGTCAAATTTCACCAAAACTTGCGCGCGAAAGAAGGGGTTCTGGCTCTTAGCTCTTTTGGGCTTTTTTGGGCGCTTTGGGGCTTTTCTTGGCGAAATATGACGGGTCCATAATGTGGCTTCTATATGAAAATGCACCTCGAATCCGCGAAAGTGCTGTCAAGCTATGCCCGCCCTATCAAGCTCCGCCCACCAAGTACTGAAAGTCTGTGCATTGAGGACAGGGACTCCCAGAAATATGTTGTTTGTAAGTTCTCCACATATTGCTTTCTGTAATCAAGATCGTGAAGAGGACTCGGAATGACAAAAACATAAAATAGAGAAAATTGTGTGGATGCTTCCTTCAATACAACTATGAGCTCTGCTGAATTTGTGGAACTTGCGAGGACAGCGAGGTGGTAGCAATCAACAGTATGGGTCGAATAGGTAAATGACTGACTGTGTAAATGACTAATCAAAGGGAACTAGATGTGTACAAGTGGATTAATCAGATTAGTGGAAAAACGTGTATGTAAACAGAAGAGTATGATTTGAAGTGTTGTGCGACATTGCTTTGAGCACAACCGATTGACATTGTTTGATCACTACAGTCCTGATAATTTTTAAATCGTCGTTTTAAAGAGCGTTTGAGAATAATTTACTGGAGCTGATATACACAACCTGAAGAAAAGGAATTACTTCTCGTTTGTTAGCAAGAATATTAATGAGAATAGTACAGAAGATCAATATCCTAAAAGGAGGTGAAAATTTATACAAATTCTTTTCTAGACGATTAGATACAAGATATCCATATCACCAGCAAATATAAGAAGAGTCCAAGATTGTTTCTGCTTTGGCTGTGAGTCTTTGTTATGATTCAACACAATAACCTAGAACATGTATTGCACCAAAAAATCTTGATTCATTTAAAAAAGAAAACAAAATAGCAGTGGATAGGCGTCTGAAACAAAGACAGACAGTAGTCAAGAAAATACGAACCACGAGAGTAATTTCCCACAAAAAACCTTGATAGCTCGGAGACTAGGGCAAGGTCACATGAACTAAGTCAGAATCATCAAGTGAAAGAGGACATCGCTGTGTGATTACCTAGTTTTGAAAGATTTTACAGAAGAGAATTACATTCCTGCAGTCATATTCTACAACCTAATGTGGGAAATTTTGAGAAAGTGATTTTAGTCTTGAAATTTAGGACATCAAAACGTCTTGTCTATTATTCAACGATTCCTCAGTCAGTTGAATAACACTTTGTCTTCAGGGGCCGTTTGTACACAATCAAACTGAGTAATAGACAAGATTTCTAGATGCCCTAAAGTTCAAGCCCAATTTTCAATTTGTGAAAATTCCGATATCTTTTCACCTTGATTTTTGACTCATAACGGAGATTTCGGAACGAAATGTGAAGGGGTTGAATAGACAAACTCTAAGCCTGACGTATTCAGTTTTATAGCTTTCATGTTTGAGTCATAACCATAACAACCGTTCAAATGGTAGCCCGATTGTGAAATTTATGTATCTCAATGTTTGTAGAGCAGTACGAATACTGAGCGCCTAGCAACAATGTAACAACGGTGACATTCGAATAATTTCTCCCATAAAGAAAGGTTTACGAAAAGTCCTGGCTTTGGCGAAAGATGAATCCTGTTGCTACTAAATTTATACAATGGCACAGCTTAGTGCTCGCTTGAGTCGTTTTACCAATTGGAAGAAGGTGTGGTGCAAAGTTTTGATTTCAAAATCTAATTTAATGTATTCATGCTCTCCACCCCTCT